TTCACTTATTTTACCAAAATAAAATATGATCATGCCTTGATTTTTAATTGTTTAATTAGGACAGCAAGGTCTGACTATACTTAGACAAAAGTCTCATCACCTAACAGAAATAATATACAGTATAGAATATAAAGTCATAGTGCAGTGGAAAAAGAATTAATATTGTGTATATGACTGCCATGAGCTTAGAGGACTGCATCCATACATCTCTGCTAACCTATTAATAAAGTCATCTGAAACGACATTCTTGCATGATGTTTATCAAGAATCTTTGGATTCATCTTCAGTGCCTCCTTCTTCCTCTTAGCCCAAACATGCTCAATAATGTTCATATTTGCTGACAGGTCTGGCCAATCTGAATATGAGAAGGAGTGCTATCCTGCTTAAGAATTTGCCCTCTCCTGTGGTTTGTCATGTAATGGGCAGCACAAATGTCTTGAAACCTTAGGCTGTTGATGTTGTCATCCACTCTGCAGATCTCTTGCACGCCCCCATCCTGAATGTAACCCCAAACTATGATTTTTCCTTCACCAAACTTGACTAATCTGTGAGAAACTTGGGTCCATGCAGGTTCCAATAAGTCTTCTGCAGAATTTGTGATGATTGTGATGCAGTTCAACAGATATTTCATTAGAAAAATCTACCTAGATCTAACTAGACGTCAAGTTACTATTTTTTGCTCTTACAAATGAGATCGACAACAAGACTTTAGTTAGGTAGTGTATGATTAAAGCATGCTTGGGCTGGGAAAGTGTGCGCAGGTCGTTGGGAGAATAGTGGGGGGGAGCAATCACGCCTAGGTTGGGTTATGGCAATCATCGTATTATTATATGTGAGTACACCTATAGTCTCCATCAGTTTTAAATAAAATAGCGAGTCCTGAAAACAAGATAAGACAAATGTACTCAATAGGAAAAGACCACCTTCAGACTTTTTAACTGCAGAAAACTCTTATCCATAGAACAGCTGTTGCTAAGATTATAAATGAAAACATAAAATAAAAATGATGAAAACTAGACTCACCATACAGTTTTACTTCTTGCCTCGACAATTCTCACAAATGTGTCTGTGTTCAACAACTGAACAAAGACTTTAAAACAAATGTTATTAAATGACAAAAATGTCAAACTCATTCCGTTCCGTAACAGTACAACACAATGGACGCAGCCAATGCGCAACATGCTGGCACATTGTACAATACAGTATTTCGTTTATCTCAAGTTCTGCATTGAAAAGGCTATATTTGCTGAGCACATTGAGCCAGTGAAGAATTTCATTTCCATTTTGATGAGGTGCATATTATCAGGCTGTCAAGCTGCTTCTTTATCTCTGTCTGAAGCTTTGTTTAAACATGAAAACTGCACTTTCTCTAATTAAATTATCCTCCATCACAACAGGTCCATCTACGGGGCCTTTCACACCAAAGAATCACTCAGCAAAATATTTGCTTTTGCTCATAATCCGACTCCTTGGAGGATGAAAAGCGATCCTAGCAATTCACTTCCATCAGAGAGCTGACCTTAATGATGTTTATTGTCTGACAGATTGCCTCTATGAAATACAGACATCAAAATCCAAGTTAACAATGCACTGGAGGCTTTCAGTCTCCACAGTCCAGATAAAATCGATGACCAGCACATCCACAGAGAAACAACAGTAATATCAGTGTAACTCTGTAATGGCCAATAGAAGAGGAGATCATGGCCGCTGGGTCTCAAGACTTTCGACTTGCTGAGACACTATAGACAGGCAATTTTCGCCTGTCAGGTTTTTGTAGTACTATTTTTTTTTTCAGGAGAAATATGTTGGTTATTAAGCATTACGCCTCTCGGTTGGACTGCATATCTATTTTTCATTCTCGTCCCTGTTGCAGCTGCTCATTTACGTCGCATTACGATGCCAGCTCCAGTGCCTCTTAATGCAGAAAGAAAGAATGATTCCGTGCCTCTACAAACTTGCTGATGACTATACAAGGTAAGCCCGCGTCAGCTACTCCTAAGGCTTTTCTGAGACGATTACCATCAGTCACTTCGGATACTTTGGCATGATTCTGCATTGTTTGGGACCACATGATATCGCTCTTGTGTATAGGGATATTTCTGCAAATCTACTTAGAAGAAACTAAAGGAGCTGTTGAATCATAAAGTGACTGAGCAGAGATCTGAACGGCCTCAGATTCAGAAGGTGCACCCATGGACTGCCTACAGTTCACACACTGACGCATGACGCATATAAAAATAGAAAGTGATGGCTGCAATCACTAGTTTATATCTGCGGTGCGTTTCCCAAAACCATCGTTAGTAACTATGGTCGCAAGTTCTGTTGTTGCTAACATATTCAACCGTTCAGTGTTTTTCCAATCCATAGAACTGTTGGATATTTGATAACTGAACTTGCAAACTTGTGTGGCTGAAACTGCAGCTCAAGGCGTTGTGTATTAGTGTAGTTTTTGTTCTTAATATGACCTGAGCATTTGATTGAATTGAAAGCAGGCTTTAACAAAATAGTGAGCTAACATGACATAAACCCAGAGTGATTTAAGAGAACCCACACAATAAAGCACAAAAATGAAAATGAATTGAAGCACTTCCTAAATGATTGTTCATTATTTCCAGCAACAATCTGACATTATTTTGATCTTAAAATTGTGTGATGTCATGAATGATAGTTTGAAGCCACAAGGTATGTTTTCAGGAAACAAACAGCCATGAATATTTAGCTAATATCTCCAAAATGCAAAAAACAAAGTTAAAGCGGCTAATTACACAATTGTTGGTTGGATTTACATTAACTTTATAAATAAAAGCGCTTTAAATACTGCTCAAAAGTTTACATAAACCAAACAAAAAAACATCTTAAAATATATACTTAGTTCCTGTTATAGTATAACACTGAAAAATACTATACATATGTCATTTCACATCTGTCAGTTCAGTTCCATACAGACTGTATAGAGACTGTGTAAATGTGGCTGTTCCAACCTGAATTTATCAGGAGTTTATTGTTGTGACTCCTGTAGAACACTTAACTAAAAACTGTATTGTTAACTGAATTTAGATGCAGGTTGTATATGGCCAAACTGACCAACAGAAGAAAAAAAAATGTCCAGGTTTGCACAAGGGGCAATTAATTAATAATTCTCAGCAGCTAAAATGAATGCCTGAAAATATCATTTTAAAATTTCAACTTTTTTTTTTCAGATAAAAATTGTCAAAAATATTAACCAAAACAGGGGTGGCGCAGTGAGTAGCACTGTTGCCTCACAGCAAGAAGGTCGCTGGTTCGTGCATGTCTGGGTCAGTTGGCATTTCTGTGTGGAGTTTGCATGTTCTTCCTGTGTTCTTCCTCCGGGTGCTCTGGTTTCCCTCACAAGTCCAATGACATATAGGTGACTACAGGTGAATTGGGTAAGCTAAATTATATATTAATCCGTAGTAAATGAGAGTGTATGAGTGATTCCCAGTGATGGGTTGCAGCTGAAAGGGCATCTGCTGCATATGCTGGATAATTTGGCGGTTCATGATTCTGTGGCAAACCCTGATTAATAAAGGGACTGAGCCGAAAAGAAATTGAATGAATTAGCCAATTAAAAAGACTATGCACTGTCAATTAGCTTGCACTTGTGCCATCATGAAAATTTACAATAGCTCAACAAGTACTACTTTTATATTGTCTTTTAATGTAAATAGGAACTGGAGGAAAGTGTTTGACCACTTCGCTCACCTCTAGCATCTTTTGAAGCAGTGCGCACATGAGCGGCACATTTTCTAGATGCTGTATCAACCTAAAAAATCTTCAACTTTCACTTGCAGCGAAACTCATCACTGTCAAGTCCAAAAGCAGTGGACTAATCAGATAAGCTCAGAGGCAACAATTGCGACCGTCTGTTTATACTAGAAAGATGGCATGATAACCGTTTTTTTTTTTTTACCGTTATATCATGAAGAAGAGGGGCCACATAGTGGCTCAGTGGTTGGCTCTATTGCCTCACAGCAAGAGGGTTGTTGGTTCGAGTCCCAGCTGGGACAGTTGGCATTTCTGTGTGGAGTTCTCCCCGTTTTTCATCTGGGTGCTCCAGTAAACTAAATTGGCCGTAGTGTACAGTATGTGTGTGCATATGCGAGTGTATGGGTGTTTCCCAGTAATGGGTTGCAACTGTAAGGACATCTGCTGCGTAAAACATGAGTTAGCAAACAAGTTGGCGGTTCATACCATTGTGGCAACCCTTGATGATAAAGGGACTAAGCCGAAGGAAAATGACTGAATGAATCATGGTGGTGGAGGCTCATTGTGGCTTTGTCCAGAATATCCTGAGTTATGCGATTTATCTTCATGTGCTTATCATAACATATTGTTTTCCTATTTCTAATGGGTCCGTTATTGTCATTATCACATAATGTGCATAATATAGTGTCACATGGACTTTGCGCTATGCTGAACTTTTTTTAAAACTCATTCCAAAATTCTGTGTTTTTAGAAGCAACGATGCACTCGGTGTGAGTGAGCCCTTAGGTCACTTTACATGACCCTTAGACGATCTCTTACTGTGTGGGCAGTTCTTGGGCAAAAAACCTTCAATGAAGACTGACATTTATGCTATAAGTCAAAGGTCTGAATAAGATGTGGAGGCGATGATCAAAATACGTTTTTTTTTTTGTTCTTTTTTCTGTCTTTGCAGTCTCATGTGCAAGGCCGGAAAGACGTCGATAGTTTATAGATTTTCCGGTGGAGGCCAGTCAGGGGTTGACAGGAGTTTATAGTGAGTTTGATACCTGCCTGTGCAGAAGGCTGAGCGCTCACAGCATCTGCTCTCTCAGAACTCAATCTCCCTTAGGCTCACAACAGACGGGAAAAATGAGAAGGCGGAAAGTAAACGAGTTAGAAGCTCTGTGTGTATGTGTGCCAGTGTGTGTGTTCACCAGTTCACTCATAACTCCAGCTTCTAGTCTGCTATATATCTTAATGTGCTAGTGTCCTTGATGGTTCCAGTGTTGACTCACCTCCACAGTCTCCAGTCTGCCACTCCAGACACTGGCCGTAGGGGAAGGAGATCACATACGCGTTGGAATCCACACAGCGTTTAGTGCTGCTGCACCACATGCACTCCATGGCCTGGCTGGTGCAGTTGGCGCAGGTGGTTCGCAGGGCACAGGGCATCTTACATGGACGCACGCTAAGGTTTGGACTCACTAGGGGGAGGAAAATGCAGTAGTCAGTATTGCAATGACCCCAAAGCAAGTTACATCATTTGAAACATTAAATCTGTTATATAGACAACTGTGAACTAAATACACAACAAGTTCCTGATAATACACAGAAAAGTCCACAAATAAAAATTACAAATGCAAATTATAAAAAACTATTCAAAATCTTAAACAGCCAAAATAAACACTACATTTAAATCATACAAGTGTATATAATTAGTATAAAAAGCTTTTATGTTATTTTTAGCTTATTTTAAACATTTGTGTGTAATATATTATTAAGGTGCTTTAGGTTTTTTCATACATTTTATTTTTAAAGGTTTTATATTTCTATTTTCAGTTTTGATCTATTTGAGTATTATTAATAACTTCTATCTTGATTTCAATTTAGGTATTTGAAATCTTATTTTGTGTAGTTTGTTGGCAATGTAAACTATTATTTGTTTATTGGTTTTATTTTATTTGTAAGGTTTATCATCTAATGTTTCTATTTTTCTGTCACATCTACGGTGCTCAGCATATATAAGTACACCCCTCACAAATCTATCTTTTAAATTAATATTTTTAATAGGAAGCTATACAATATTACATGTGTGCATATACATTAGGCTAGCCAGTACTGAAGCCAAAGCTGGAGCTAATCAACAAAAAAAAAAAAACACGATAACGATCCAAAAACTAGTACACCCAAATGTATATGTTATAGAAAAATATTAAATACAAATTTTAAAAAAAGAGGAAAAATCAAGAGACAAAAAAAATGAACATTTCATAGAAATTTTGTAGGTTGTATTTTTTCTTTGCAATATTTTGCTTGAATTTAATTGTATTTTCTTTCAATTTCTAAATATGTTTGGTGACTAAAATATTATTTTAATAAATATATCTGTTTAATAAATCAGTTTTGTTTAAATGCACAAAAAATGCATTGCCTATATTCACTGAGAAATAGATACAAATATCCATTTTCAAAATGGGGGTGTACTCAATTATGCTGAGCACTGTTATTAACTTTATTTATTTAGTTCAACCTTATAGTTATTGACAAAAGAAACATTAGCACAAACTTCAGAAATCTGTATAAAACTCATTAAGAAAAAATCCAAAGAACATCTTGTGTTTTAATGAAGGCAAGAACATCTGTACAGCCATATTATCCATGTCAAGAAACTTACTTTGATCAGCAAATGAAGACTGCAGAATTTAAAACACTTTATTCATGTTATATAATAGCGCTTCATTTAAATTTATTAAAAGTTAATGCTAAGATTTTGTTTATTTTAAAGATATATTATGAATCCACCAGCACAATATGGTCTTAGGCATTTGCACCCTATGGCAATTAGGTTTTATAATAGATGTATTACTACTAGCTATAAACATTTAAAGATAATGGGATTTATTGATGATGAATGTTATAGGCATAATGACATGCCCCAAAAAGACTGGTTTGTTACCTTCTGTAGAGTAAGACATAAAACTGAAATGAGCACAATGAGCAGAACAATGTAAATAAAACATGAAGACGAGCAGAATAAACAAGATGAGGGGAGCTGATGTTCATTCTTTATGCCCTTTGCTTATGTCTGCACAAGAGGAGTGTCCAGCAATTATTCAAGGCTTAATTTGTGCCTCCTCTGTGTCTCTGTTCCAGAGTTTCAAACAAGTCCGATAAACACACAACAGCCAATGCAACAAAGGAGGTGTGAGAGAATATTCAACAGCTCTGCTTATTTAGAATATCAAAGACATTGAGACAAAAACAACCTATAGATGCTTGTTTTAACTGATAATTATTTATTGATTTGCTTGTTTGTTGAATGGACCAATCACTGGTCCATAGAGATTGTGTGATAGGTGGGTTTATTTCTGTGGTCCAGCCTTATTTGGAAACTTAACTGTAATGTGCAGCTTTGTTTAACATGTTCATATAAATTCAACTAAAAATAATTATAGACTGTAATAGCTGAGTAGCCCATCCGCTTTTTAAAATGACCAATAGCGTTTACGTAGTTTTCATCACAGCTTGGCCAGTCAGAGTTGTTGAGATAAAGTGCATCTGTTACTCATGACAGCTGCAATGACAATATCACCTTAGTTAACATTTCTCTTCATTAAAATACAGCACTTACGGGATTTTTTAATCAGTACAAAATATGCTTTGTGGTCTGATCCTTGTGCATATGATCTGATGTGTGTTTTTGTGTCTCTAGGCTAGAGCAGACTGTGTGTTTGATTGATTCAATTGTAATATAGTGACTTGTAAGGTGCAGGATGCATCCGATTCTAAAAAGAATGCAAACTGTCAGAAGATCTGATGACAAGCTGAAGTTCAGAGAGATGTAAAGAAGTCGCTGATCAATATTGTCAGAAACTGAAGAAGGTTTTGAATGTCTACATCTTAAAGTGGATTTTGTCATTGTTTAAGAGCACACTACTGTATCTTATAGATCAGTGGTTTTCAACTGCACACCCAAACATTTAAGGACAAACAGTCCAGACAACATGGTCCAAGCTTCTAAATGGGAGGAAACCATTAGTTTAGTTATGGCTAGAAGTGTTCTGGCTGTGGCTACTGAAAATGTGCAGATAAATATAGCATCTTTTTGTGATGCTGTACAACAATAAATCCTTTTTTTTTTAAATAACTGTGATGGCTAGGTTTAGGGTTGTGGTGTAGATGTTAAAACACAACCGATTACTTAGGGGTGCCCAATCCTTTTCTTGTAGATCTGCCTTCAAGCAGAGTTTACAAACCTCATCAAACACACCTCTTCTCAATCACTAAGTACTTCTTCGGATTCCACTTAGTTGGATTAATTGTGTTTGATCAGGGTTGAAAGCTAATCTGCAGAAATCCAGAAACAGGTTTGAGCACCCCTGCTGTAAGGGCTAGGTTTAGGGTTGAGGTTGGTGTAGTCCTCATGTGTCAAACTCTCTTCCTGGAGAGATGCAGTTCTGCAAAGTTTAGTTCCAATCCTAATTAAACACACTTGATCAAACTAACTGCGGTCACACTAGAGTTTGTGAAAAATCTTATGGTCCATTATACCGATAGAAAAGCATATCAATAAAATCTAATTAAATAATCTACATATAAATTATGCTGATATTTTTGCGATAGACTCATCCGTCATTGCCCATATATGGTTCGCCCCTGCCTAGATCAAGTGTTGTGGAATGGATTGTATATCCTTATTGGGTATGCAGGCCTGCAGCCCCAATTTTAGAAGCTTTTGACTTTGACAGAAACATGTTTAAAACATAAAGCTGCTTTCATTCAAGCAAAATAATGTATGAATAGAGCAGAGCTCATGCAAATATCAATATAATCAGAAGCTTTCTTAACTGCTGTTTTCTCACCACAACCAATATTGCTGTTTGTTCATTTTGTTACTAAGAGAAAAAGCATATACATATCTACTTATTAAAGTAAGTAAATACACTTTTCATGCTAACTTTCTTCTTCAAACTTCTTTTCCCTTCTTTTCTTCATTTTTTTTTATATCAGACTTTAACTGTGCTGAGAATACTACACCTGAATTGCTTCCTCAATCGAATTTAGACAGAATAAATTTAATAGAAGTCTACTTAGAGATGTGTGGAACCATGTAAAACTTTCCAATTTTTCTGAAACCTGGAGTTTTCTGTGGGAGCCAGGGATTCAGTTTGGGTTTGATGTGTAAGAACAGCATCCACCACAGAACAGGCACTGAATTACCTCCAGGTTCGCGTTACAAAAGAGAAAAAAAAAAAGCACAAAGAAAACTTTTCTCACCAATGGGCTTCTCACAGATCAGCCCCTCGGTGTTGGCAGTGCAGGGTTTGGCTTTGAGTCCGGCTACCTCAGCTCTTTCCAGGTAAGCACAAAACCCTGAGTCACTCGGCTCTCCTGGTAACCACTGCAGTGTGCTGGCAGTAAAGGGAGACGCGTCCTCCCACCCCCAGTATGAAACATTTATCTTCCTCAGACCCACCCAGGGAGTTAGTTTCTGCAAAAGACAAAACACATTTCCTCATGTCTTATACACACATATAGTACAACATATGTCACAATCTGTATTGTCAATAATTAGTGAACATTTTGGGCTTGTTATATTATTAGGTTTTTAGGTTTATGTGTGTTTGTATATGTAGTACAAAGTATTCATAATATAATATAGAATAGCTTGAAAGAAATTTTCCATGATGAAAACTTTTTTTTTCTCAAGTAAAATTTATTATGATTTATAAATTCATTTATTTATTAAAATGCATTAATAACAAATTATTTTGGCAATACTTTGAAAAAAATGTTTCTTAAAATAATATAAAAGAAACATAAAATAACAATAGGGAATCAAAATCAATACATAAACTTAAACATTAAAAGTCAAAATGGCATAAAACAAAACAGAGTTAATGAATGTATAAATTAATCAATTAAATAAATAAAAACACAAAACAAAAACAATAAAAATCCTAAAAATAACAGCATAAAATGAAAAAACCAAATGTTAAAATATTAAAACAAAAAAGCTTTACTACTAAAGATTTGTCAATTAAAACCCATCATGATTTAAAAATGAATGAATGATTTCATTAAAATCCAAACAGCTTTTGGGGTTCTCCCACCTGGCCACACTTTACCTTCTTATTTTGCAGACTTTGTAGCCTTCTTAACACTTTTGGCAAGACGGTTATGCTTAGTTCAGACTGCGTGATTTTAGTCCCGATTGTGGCTCGCCGACAGGTTTTGAGAAATCGCCGACAAATGCTTGAAATCACAGGCAAATCGCTGCTTGTGCACGTGAGTGACAATTACACAGTACAAACTTTTAAAGACACGATCTGAGAGAATCGCAGATGAGTCGCCGATGCCTGTGAGATATTTGGCATGCTAAAGATCTGGAGCTGTCGGCGATTTCAAATCATGCCGTGTGAATTGAGTTTTGACTGAAAATAACATCAGCCATCACCTACAGCCAATGAGAGAGCAGCTTTCACTTGTGTGTGCGTGTGTGTATACCTGCTGCAGGCCAGCGGAAGGCTGGGGGAGAATAATATTTGGTTTATTTGGACCCACGAAATGGAGGAAAAACTAGTGGAGGTTTGACAGGACTCAGGAGCAACCGTGTCTGTTTGACGTTTCATACAGAAAGAAATTAGTTTATTATCAACGTTAAGGAGAAATGGCTAATTCCCTTTAAACCCAGGTGAGCAAACATGTACATGTTCTACCCCATTAAAGGCTTCTTTCTCATTATGTAGTTAATAACAAAAGATATACTACATGTTTTTGGCTGTGAGACGTAGTTTGGACGAAGTTGTCGGCGATTCTTCCTATAGTAAAGTCATGCAATGTGAAAGTCCCTGTCGCAGATCCATCTTGCGGTGTAAACAAAGCAGCGACGAAACGCTAGCCCAGATAGTCATGCAGTGTGAAAACATCTGTGACATGACTACTTTAAAAAACATGCAGTCTGAACTCGAAAATAATTATTCTAAACTGGAAGAGCCCTCACCCTCCATCTCACACTTATTGCATAAGAAATGTTCTTTATTTCATTTAAAAAAAATAGAGAAAATTAGGTACTCTCTTTACTAACCTAGCACTTTTTTCATCAAACCGTGGGAACCCCTTGGCAAACATGTCCACACTCTTCAGCTTGACCCTGTTCTTTGTGATTGAGTCTGCACACCTAACTCCTTGCTTGGTACTGGATACTAGTTCTAGTCAGCACATTGTAGACATGTATTTTCTGTATGTAAGACTGCACTTGTGTTTTTGTTTGTTTGTTTTGTTTTTATTTTTTGTTTTGCTCAAAATACTCTTCAGTGCTTATGGCGACACGGTGGCTCAGTGGTAAGCACTGTCGCCTCACAGCAAAAAGGTCGCTGGTTCGAGGCCCAACTGGGTTATTTGAAGTTTCTATGTGGAGTTTGCATGTTCGCCCCATGTTGCCGTGGGTTTTCTGCGGGTGCTTCGGTTTAAATTAAATTGGCTGTAAATTCAAATTAACTTGGCTGTAGTGTGTCTGTGTGAATGTGTATGGAGGTTTCCCAGTACTGGGTTGCAGCTGGAAGGTCATCAGCTGTGTAAAATATATGCTGGATAAGATGGCATTCTGCTGTGGCAACCCCTGATGAATAAAGGGACTAAAATGAATAAATGTATTTGTTTACTGATACATGATTTAGTTGTACTTATGTTGTATTTTTGTTATGTGTTTTACAATTTATAAATAAAACAATTTAAAAAAAAATCCTTAATAGCTAAATAATAAATTTAACTAAATTATTTGGCATAATATTTTACATTCTTGGAGGGAAAAACCCATAAAATACCCTGAAACAAAGCAAAAAATCCTAAACAAAGCTATATTACAAAAAATAGTTACTAAGTTAAAAACAAAACAAAAAGCAGGTAAAAACCTAAAATACCATAAACAATTGCAAAAACAAATGTTAAAATAACACAAAGCAGCGTCTATGCAAATAATTATCATTATTAAAAAGTAGTAGTAGTAGTAGCAACTGCAGGCAAAAGCTGTCATTTCCAGCAGCCAATGCAGAAAAGTTCATATGAACTTATTTATTATAAAACAAATGAATAAAAAACTTTGAGTGCTGTTTCCATTTGCTGGGTGCTGAAATGTAATTGAGCCACACATCTGACATAAAGCTTGTTTAAAAGCATTAAAGTCACTTTGAACACAGGTTCAATGAGCTGTTATCATCCTGCGTTCATAAATACTCGCGATTATGAACATTAGTGTAAAGACCAGAAAGGCGTCTGAAGTTAAAACGATAAACAGACTGACATATTTACGGATGTGGTAAATTCAGAGGAATAAAAGAGAAGCATTCATCTTCATAAACCTCAATTTGAACTCAATCTGAACTCGATTTTTACCTCATTACACAGTTTCTGCTGGACATCCATTCAGAGCACCTTGACGTTTTGATGGCTAATAAGCATGTCGTCTTTGTAGAATATGTGCTATAGTCTTACAAATACAAGTTTTTTCTTCCTCTCTTTTATTTCTGTCTTCTTCAAGGAAAGGCAAAAGGCCAATGCACAGTTTAATAATCAATTCAAGGCAAAACAAATTGAATTTGACATACCCCAACCCTTCAGATTTTCCATTCAAATTAACAACTTCCCAGTATGAAAAGGTCTGGCGTGCTTTGATTAAAACGTTTAAAGGGTTTAAGATCTCCCGTGAGTTTGTTGAGCCACAGGAAGCGAGCGTGACTGTCTGTATGAGTGACAGAAAAGACGAAAAATAGTGGCAACTGAGAAAAGCAGTGCATGTGAATCTTTTTCACATCAAAGGTGGGTCCTTTAGAAAATTGTGTTAATCTTCAAAGGACAAAAGCTGCTTAAACATCGAGGCTCACGCCGCAATCAGCAAGGGAGCGGATTATGGAGAGTCATTCCTTTCCTTTTAATTAACACATGACAAATATTTACACCACAGCACCAGGGAGACTCCACAGATTTTGAGCAGAATTGGCTTTTTAGTGAAGGCATGAGTAAGGTTTTTCGACTTGAAGTGTAAGCTGTACTGACATTTAGAAACAAACCTATACCCTGAAACATCTGCCACTACATCTGGATTTGACACAGAGACTAAACAAGTAAACTGTAAAAGCTAATGTTTGTATACTAAGACAGAAAAACCTAACATGCTTGGGGGCTTTTAAAGAATCACTTTAAAATTGGATTTGAAAAAAATCTTTAAAAAAATAGTTGGATAGAGGTGTTTGTGCCAGATTACTTGCTATAAAATATAACTTTTTTAACAAATCTACAATCCAGACTCATTATGAAAATGTACCCATATATACATTTACAGACAGCATGAAATGCGTCCCAGTAGGTAATTTTTTTTCTGGAGTTTTTGTTTTCGCAAATCCACCAGAGGCCACTGTGTACGCTATTTCAAATCTCAAATTTCTCTCACGATTGCCATTAGTGCCTGCTGTTCTCGCATAAATCCACCGGAGGTCTGTGTCAACTGACTGAGCAGTCCCGAAAAAGAAAAGTCCCCTGATTTTTACCATGTTTTCAGATCTGACCATGTTCTCACCCTGTTATTTACTTGTTTATTTTATTTTTTGGCTTTTTTTTTTAGTTCTACCAGGTTTCTGGAACTGTTGTTTGCCGGACTCAAACCCTGTCATCGAAAAAGTACAGCATCTTACCACCACATATGTTTTCGTTTTAAAGACGAAATGCAGCCATACAAACTTCTGGCTACATAATTTGTCTCCAGAAATGTATATAGAGCTCCATTTTCAGAATAAGCCTGTGTTGCATATCTAAAATCTAATATGATGAAATATCACTGATAGTGTCAGAAGCTATGCTCCCATCCACCTATTTTTTTTTTTTTTTTTTTGTGAATTTTAGAATATCACAAAAAACGGTGAATTAAAATAGCAAAATTGTGCATAATAGTAAAAAACAAAGCAGCTTCACTGGTAAAAACTACTTCTACAACTTAAATACATTTTATAACTAGTATTTCGTTGTAGTTTCACAGGAAGTAACAATTTAATTTTTTTGAGTGCATTGAACAGAATGCATGATTTTTTATATGCAATATTTCATTTAGCACCTAAGTTAAGTTTGAAACTTCAGATGAAAACACACAGTCCTGCACATGACATACACTACCTGACAAAAGTCTTGTCACCTATCCAAGTTTCAGGAGCAACAAATAATAACATGACCTCTAGTTGATCATTTGGTATCTGAAGTGGCAATAGTGATAGTGATGGCAATAGACAGTAAGTGAAAGGTAAAGGCCTCTATTTTACACTTATTGTACCAAAATAAAATATGATCATGACTTGATTTGAAATTATTTAATTAGGACAGTACCGTCTGCCTTTGCTCAGACTAAAGTCTTGTCACTTAACAGAAATCATGTACAGTATAGAATCTAAAGTCATGTTTTAGTGGAAAAAGAATGAATATTATTGTGTATGACTGCCATGAGCTTGGACGACTGCAGTCATACATCTCTGCAATGACTCAAATAACTTATTAATAAAGTCATCTGGAATGGCAAAGAAAGCATTCTTGCAGGATTCCCAGAGTTCATCAAGAATCTTTGGATTCATCTTAAATACCTCCTCCTACATCTTACCTCAACATTCTCCATAATGTTTATATCTGGTGACTGGGCATGCCAATCCTGGAGCACCTTGACCTTCTTTGCTTTCAGAAACTTTGATTTTGTAGCTGAAGTATAAGAAGAAGCGCTATCCTGCTGAAGAGTTTTCCCTCTCCTGTGGTTTGTAACGTAATGGGCAGCACAAATGTCTTGATACTTCAGGCTGTTAATGTTGCCATACACTTAGCAGATCTCTCACACACCCCTTGCAAATACTGAATGTAACCTCAAATAATGTTATGTCCTTCACTGAACTCGACTGATTTCATTGAGAATCTTGGGTCCATGTGGGCTCAGATAGGTCTTCTACAGTATTTGTGATGATTGGGATGCAGTTCAACAGATGATTCATCTGAAAAATCTACCTTCTGCCACTTTTCCAAATGATTAACTAGAAGTTATTATTTGTTGCTCTTACAACTGGGATCGACGACAAGACTTTTGTCAGGTAGTGTACAACAAAAATAAATTAATAAATAAATGAAATGTTGGCACAATTTAAACACTTTTCCTTGTTTAAAAAATATTGTGAGCTCAATATATTATTTTGTGGCCTCAGTCTAGGCCAGGTGTGGGCAAACTTGATCCTGGAGGGCCAGTGTCCTGCATAGTTTAGCTCCAACCCTATTCAAAAAGACCTCCCTATAGAGTTCAAGTGATCTTGAAGACACTGATTAACTTGTGCAGGTGTGTTTGACTAGTGTTGGAAAAAAAAACTCTGCAGGGACACCGGCCCTCGAGGATCAAGTTTGCCCATCCCTGGTCTAGGCAAACTGCACACAAAATTAAAATGCATTGTACTTCCTGTCCATGCATGCATTCTAAAAATTATTATTATTTTTTTTTTAACAATGACGATTGCTATAGCTTATATCAAAATGCAGCCTGTTCTCAATAGAAGCAGCTATGACCAGTTTGAAACAAATCTAGAAAATCTTAACCATTGGTTGTGTTCTAGATATACACCAAATCACGTATCAAGACAAATCTACGTCAGTATTTGAGCTGAACTCACCCGCTCCTGCAGCTGATACTTCTGCAGCTCCTCCAGGATGAACTCCACCTGTCTGGCTGATGTCAGAGAGGCGATGCTGCCCTCCAGGTTCTTACAGTAGTGCTGGGCGTTATCATAACTCTCCTTGCTGGCGTTCAGCCTCAGACACACATCTCCAACCTGACTCCAGTCCTCACCGCACAAATGAGCTGAAAAGAAACAGAGAAATTCAGTATAAAGCTTCAGTCCAAACTAGGCCTTACTCCCACAAAATATTGGAAAATGTTGAAAACACTGAAAATTCTGAGTGTGCTCCACATAGGTGAATCAGCTTGAAAAACACCTGTAGGAAAGGTACTCTTTCCTTTCTGTTTGCACCAGATACTTACTTATAAACACACACAGTTTTACAAAGATATAGTATAGATATCACCTTTTTGAAAAAGTACTTTATATTGAATGACTTCAGCTTACTAAAGCTGTACTGTCCACCCTACTCCCACTTTAACCTTTTATGAATTTGTTTGTTAAAACTCATTTAAAATTGTACTATTTATTTTATGAAGTATAAATCCTACAATTTTAATTTCTGTGTAAATGCATTTAGAACACTACAGAGCCGCATTAATCTGTGTAAATGCACATTTTTGCGGTTTCATGCTGCTTCAGGTTTGGTTTCTGTGCCGCATTTCCTCTATAAAGATGCCTTTGTGAATAAATAAATAATTCTACAAAAATATTAAGTAAGTAAGTCATGTGTTTTATATAATGCATTTACTGTGTATGACCATGCACCCAAAGCACTTCACAATCATGTGGAGGGGTCTCCCTACTCCACCACCAGTGTGCAGCATCCACTTGGATAATGTGACAGCAGCCAAAGAACAATGGCGCCAGTGTGCTCCACACACCAGCTATAGGTGAAGTGAAGAGACAGTAATACAGTCAATTTTGTGGATGGAAATAAAAGGGAGGTCATGATGGGTAAGGGCCGACGGAGGGAATTCGGCCAGGACACTGGAGTTGCACCCCTACTCTTTACAAGCAGCGCCATGGGCTTTTTAATGACCACAGAGAGCCATGCTAACGTCTCATGTAAAAGATGGCACTCACTGAGAGTATGGTGTCCCCTTCAATTTACTGGGGCATTAGGACTCACACAGACTGCAGATTTAGCACCCTCTCCTGGCCTCACAAGCACCACCTCCAATAGCAACCTAGTTTTCCCATGTGGTCTCCCATCCATGTACTTAACAGGCTCTGCCCTGCTTGGCTTTAATTAAGTAACCAGTCTTGGGCTGTAGGGTGATATGGTTGTGGCCATAATCACTGCAAATGTCTTTATTTGATTCTGTGATTCATGCGCAAATCAACATATTATTTTGATTTCTGACTAACATTAAAGTCTGGAGTAATGACTACTAAAAATTCAGCTTTAACAACAAAAATATGAATTAAATTTTACAATACTCTATATTAATAATAGTATTCAAGTGATGTCAAATCACCCTTGATTCTATAGCACTTTACACAGTGTGCGTTGTTTTAAGGTCACTTTACAAGGACGAACAGGAAATTAGTTTTAAAAAGCACTATTTCATTTTGTGGGACATATTCGATATATTATGCAGGTAGCAGAATAGTGGTAGCCAACAGTTATTTTAAATCATAAAAAGATTTCACAGCATTACTGTTTTAATGTACTTTCATCAAATAAATGCAGCCTTGGCAAGCATGTGAGAAAAAAGTACAACTTTTGAACAGTAGTGTAAATCAAATTACATCATGAAATTAAGAGCCATGAAAGCCTTTGGGGTTTGAACTTATTACAGCGAGCAGCACAAGAATAATTAACCGTGACGATGGTTAACCACAAAAACCAACAGTCAGACAGAACCCTCAAATTCCTGAAAAGCCAAACAAAGAGGAAAAATACACAATTATAAAACCACAAAGCACTAAAAATAACATTAAAAAACATCTCCCCCTTTACTTCAAGACATTTTATAAAATGTGGCTGATTATCTGCTAAGATAAGGGCTGTTATACGATGAAGTGAGAAACAACTGAGTGCGGAAAAAGAAAAAAAAAGAGAACAATAAACTTTGGGTTTGTTGACAGGCTGCTCGGCCATAAATGGATAAATATCTCAGCTATCTTGAGTAATTACTGCTTGGAACTGGCCCTCTAGTCTAGGCACTATCCATCTGCAAAGGTCTCCATTTTCCATGCTTGGATATGCACATCTTTACTAGAGTTAGAGTTGTGCAAATACTACAAGTGTGTGTGTGTGTGTGTGTGTGTGTGTGTGTGTGTGTGTGTGTGTGTGTGTGTGTACACCAAATTGAGCCATCAGTCAAAAGTTTGACAGATAAGAAGTGAGTTTCTAGCATTTGTCCTTGGAAAAAAATCCTGATATTGGCCCAGAGGCCCTGTTTACATCTGGTATTAAGATGTATTTTGGTGATTTGAGCTTTTTCTGATCTTTTGATCTAATATTGTTAAAAAACCTTGCACTGTTAAAAAAATATATATATTCATTTATTAAATAAAAAGAAGTCTTTGTATTTTGGTATTTACCAAGGTTCTCTGTTTATTTACAGTTATGAATTGCATTATGGGACCTTGATCTCTTCTCTGTCTACTTTTGATGTTGAAAATGCAACTCTTGACTATTTAGTAGCTTAAATAAATATAAATAAATAATGAAATAAATAAAGTCTGTAAAATAAGACAAAAATGTAGGCAGATTATTACCAGGGTTTTGAACCAGAATTTGCAAGATCAACTTAAGATTTAAAATATTCAAATTGTCAATAAAGTCACGTTTTTGCAAACAAACAGAAATAGTTGTGATTTTGAATACTTTTCTATAATATTGTGTTGTAAATGAAGAAATGAATAAATAACAGTTCTGTACTATCTAAAGGTTAAGAAAGTAAATTAGTGAAGCTGACCATGTGAACTCCATTAAGCAAAATGGCAAAACAAATGTGACGATGGCGTTTATTAATATTTAATATGAAATGCAATATTTGTTAGCATGTATACAATGGGTTGTGTGAGTGTGCATCTTTTCTGGAGACTGAGAAATGTAGAGCATAGATACAAAGTGTGGGTTTGTAGACAAGAAAACATGTCTTCCCAAGGGAGACACAGGAATGTTAATAATACATCAAACGATGGCACTACTTCCTGCTCTCGAACTAGATCAGATCAAATAAATCAGGTAGAAATGCCCTCAGAGTGTGGAAATGGGTTTCCTTTGTTTCTGCATCTGAGATATTTCAAGCATTTTTCAAACTTCTCCAACTTTGCCTCTTTCAAAATCTTGCCCTCTAAATAAATTTCAGGTCAGCAAATCCGAAGTCAACAAATCTGAATATGCAAAGTGGTCACAAGTAGTTCTAATTCTAGCAAGGCATTTTAGTGCTCTGATCATAAGTGGTCGGTCGGTGCTTTTTCCCAATTCAGTATAAACTTGTTCAAATGTGTGACCAATTGTATTTGGTTTTCAGTTCCCTCTTGTTACAATTCCGACTCTGATTACAAGTGAGCGGGAAATCAAGGAAATAAAAATGACAGTCCAGGCTGATTGGAAATACATACATCAGCCTACATTTCTGTGAAACTAAAATTACATTGCTCCAGGTATATTTCATTGCACATTACAAATGATAGAGGAATGCAAATCTGAAATATGTTACTTAGGTTAGGTTGTATGTTTCAGGTACACTTCTGTCTTGTACAAGTCCACAAGGAAATGGGGCTTGTTGTACCGTACCGTACCACTGACCTAAACTCAACCAATTGTGTTTTAAAAAGCAAATGTAAATGAAATGTGCATGCCAACCATGTAGTTTACCTTGATTTTGCATTGCTTTTTTCTCTTTAGTTTAACTGTGCATCAGCAGACTCTAATCCAAGCAGCACAAGCACAACACTGTACAAAGGTAGCTACTGAACAAATTGACAGAACAAGAGGTCCAAATAAAAATAAACAGGTAAAGCAAACATATTCAATTACAAATCAAAAACACTGATTTATGATTTTGTTTTGTTGTTTTAACAAAACTGGATGAAAATAATCCTCATTTGTTGGTAAAAAGTCTATGTAAATAGTTAATATTAAACCTCTGTAAATAGCACATACATATATATATATATATATATATATATATATATATATATATATACATATATATATATATATATATATATATATATATACATATATATATATATATATATATGTACATATATTTCCATAAAGCCTGTGCTGCAATTTGAATGTATCTTTGGTACAACACAGTGAATAATGAAGTATTATGAAGTATGAAGTCAGAACTTGAAAAGGAAGTGATTTGTTAGGGGAGGGGGTTGTTTAATAGTAAAATTTCTGCAATCAAACAGTTGTTGCATTTCACATATGTTTTTGAGAGTTTCGTTTTTGTTTTCTTTTGCGCTCTCTCTCCCTTTTCCCTGCTTTTTCTGTTCTGCCCCAGGTGTGCGACCACTGGAAGAGAAGATCGTCATTCATCATTATGACGCCACTCGGCGCACCAATCAGGAGCTGGTCGACCACATTTAAAAGGTATTCGCTTGTGTTGATCCAGAGGAGCACCTGAATAGAATCATCTATTTTTTTTTTTTTTTTTTTGTAGTTAGCTTATAGAGGAGTTGCCACTATCACACCTTAAGTAGTTTAGTTAAGCCTTGCATACAATGAAGATTACGGTTTTGTCTCTACATTTTTCTTTGATTAATAGTTTTGTGGGTTTTGGTTTAGCTGGATTGCTTTGTTATATTTATTTCTAATTATACTTTTAACACTCTAGTTTTTCGGCTGATTCTGACATTTAAATTAATATATTAACTGATTAATATATATATATATATATATATATATATATATATATATATATATATTCAATATTCAACACATTCATATATTCAGTGTTTAATAAATTATTAAGAAATTAATAAAATACAATATAACAACATAAACACGTAACACAATCAACAATGTGTGCAATCAACTGAGTATTTGCATTATGAAATGTTTTCTGTAAGTCGCTAAACGTGGTCAACCTTAAACTATTTAGGGCCCATATACATCTATATGTAGCATTGTCTGCTTGTAATCAGACTAACAAAACTGCTTAATTCCAGATCTGAGGAAGCCCTAAAAATAGAAACTTTCCTGTGATCTTTCCAGAGCACAGCATGATCAAAAAGTCAACTATACACTTTAATGGCATTTATACTGTTGTTCAAAAGTTTGATGTCAGTGAGATTTAATTTTCAGCGTTCGATCTGTTATGCTTAAAGGGCTGCTTCAAAAGTACAAAATAAAAATAGAGGAATATACATTTAAATAGCAATCTAACTTAATATGTATGCATTTTTTTAATTAAATTTATGTTATGAAGTCAGTGCTGAATCTTTATTCTTCCCAAAAATGCAGTGAAAGACACAACAAACAAAACAAAAATACTGACCCCAGAATTAAGTGTAGAACAGGGCAAACAATAGCACAAATGTTGTTGTTTTTAAAATAAAGATTCAATGACGCTTAATCAAAACAATGCAATGCAATCTCCATACTTTAACTCACCAGGTAAAGCATGACATTCCTGCTGTTGTGGCTCCCACTGGCAGTTAATGTTAAGCGAACAACTCCTGCAGTTCACCAGTTTGCTACAGACCTGCTCACTTCGAATGCTACATTTGGTATGGTTCTTGATAGACTGAAAAACAAGATAAAGAAAAACTTTCAGTACTCTGTCTACAAATTTGAATGTGGACAAGAAAGTTTTAGGTGGAACTAAGTGGTTACAGGTGCAACATGTTTAAGCCAATTAGTCAATTCATAAGCTTCATACCTGGCCGTTTTTGCGCACACCGGGTTTCCAAATAGAGAGCTGGTGTTCAGACAACATAGCAGGGGGAGGATTGAGGTACAGCGGACCACGAGGGTGGCGAGCAAGCTCAACTGTAAGCTGAATATAGACAAAACATAAGAAGGCATTAGGAAAATTTGTATATATTTAATATATTCTTATGATCATCAGCTTGGGGCATCACTTCCACTGGAACACGTCCCTTCGACTTTTTAAATTTCTTTGTGTCCCCACTACATTTCATGATTTTTAAATGCAGGCAGTCTTAGCCATGAACTACAGAAAGTCTGCATGCATCCATGTGCACATCTGCGTCTAAAAAACATCTATGGGCATGCTCTAAAAATAACTCTATGAAGGTTCTAATGTGCAGATATTGCAGTTGAAAATATACATTTAATGAGATTTATGGTTTCAGACAGCGATAAAAAGCCAAGCAGTAACAGATGACTTTTATGTCAACAAGGAAGGTGAAAAAAGTGATGCAAGTTAGTTGCTCCAACATATTAGGTCAGGTCAAAATAATCTTATTTTCTGTCAAACAGAATATGTCTAAACCTGCTGATTTTACTCTAACTCTTAGGAATTTAAGCTAGACAGAAAATTAGCACCACGAATTGTTGTTGTTGTTATAACAGGTGTTTCATAAAAGACAAATAATAAGATAATGATCAACATTTTCATTTAATTTCTCTTCATAATCATTTTTGTACAGTGGTCCCTCACTATAATGTACTTTACTTTTCAGTATTAATTTTTTTTGTACAAATTGACTTTTTTTTTTCTACAGCACATTGTGTTGGGCGTCCTGATTAGTGCATAGTGTTCTGTGTCCTGACTGGCTGTAGAACACTGTCAATCAATCTCCTCTGTGCCATGTCTCCTGGGGTTCGTTCTTCGTACCTCGCTTAAATGATCTAAGATTATTTGGCAGATCCTGGATCTTTTAATCTTGATAACTGATCTCTCGCTAATTTGGTTCTTCAAACAAGTTTGCGAATCAGATTAGAATGTCTGGATGAACTGATCTGAGATTGCTGCGTGTGTTGTGAAGGACAGATCTATCGATCCTCGAAATCATGATCAGCAATGCAACGATTGGCTGACAGCACAGCAGCGTAATGACATCATCTGAGTAATATTCAATTATCCATGTGAGCAAAATTACATCAAATTAGCAGTAAACCGTTTGTTAAATATGACACGCAAGAACTTTCCACATTTGTTGTGAGCTGCAGGCTTTACACTTTCACGTGTCAAGAGTTCCTCGTGTATTTCAATGCAAATCAGTGTATCTAGTTGTACATCTAGAAAAGATTTTCTTTATTATAGTAGCCGATTTTTTAATCGGTGTAAAGAATAACTGGTTGTTTACAAAAGCATTTTGATATTGGTAAAGGCGTCTGCAATTTTTGTGAAGCATCAAATCTCTGGCATATTAACTATCAAAACATGTTTATGACTGCATAAATGTATTATTGCTTTTTAAAAAAAAGTCACATATTGTGCATTTCTATTATACACAATTTGTACTAAAGAGATCTAAAAAGTTCATATCAATAAGTTTTCTCTTTGCACCACCAGGTGGCAGTCTTTGTACTTTCATTTCGCGGGTGCAGATTGCATAAGTTTTATTAATATGTATAACTTTATTTATTTTATTAATAACTATAACTTTATATATATATAGTTACAAATATTTACTATTTTCCCAAGTGTAAATAACTACTACTGTAAGAAAATATCAGAATTCGGAAAATACTTTCTGTATAATCTTTGCTTGAACTGAGCTGATCTAATCCTGTTTATATAAATTGAACCTGCTCCCGATCAGGTTTGACCTAGCAGAACTGTTGCTATGACAACAACTCTCGGATCAGCTTTGAAGAACGAAACGATCCTGGATCGTGTCAAATCGTCAATATCTAAATCCAGCTAACTGAGTAATCCACGTACGAAGAACAGACCCCTGTACAGTACAGAATGTGTTCAGCTCACCAAATTTACATAAACCTTCAATTGCTAGCAGTGTGACTCTGAAGTGCTTTACTGTGTGTTTGTTCCCTACAATGTTGACGAAATGTTCTGCACTGTCAAATGCACCTGCTCTAGCACCCAAAAGACAGTGAAAGATGGTAACCACAAAAAGTTGAACTTCTGGGCATTCTAAAGGAAGGTAGAAGTTATGCAGATGTAGGGCGACATTATGGTATAAATAAATAAAGATCAAATGGTTTTGATCTTTGGTTTCATTCTATCATGTATTCATTTATTTTCTTTTTGGCTTAGTCCCTTTATTAATCTGGGGTTGCCACAGCGGAATAAAGCGCCAACTTATCCAGCATACGTTTTACACAGCCGCAATTCCTCATTGGTAAACACCCATACACTTCCATTCACATACATACACTATGGACAATTTAGCTCACCCAAAATTCAGCTATATCGCATGTCTTTGGACTTGTTGGGGAAACCGAAGGACCCGGAGGAAACCCACTCCAACACAGGGAGAACATACAAACTCCACACAGAAATGCCAACTGACCCAGTCGAGGCTCGAACCAGCGACCTTCGTGCTGTGAGGCAAGATCGCTACTCACTGTGCCTCCATGTTGCCCTAATTCTATAATACTGGACCTATTTTTCTACGAAGGTTTGAACTTTTAAACAAGAGAGAAAAGTGTGCAAATGTTAATGGCTGTCTGAGAAAAGTGTAAAATGTGTGTATAGAGGGGTTTTACAGCCTTAAAACATCTGTAATAATTTAAAAAAATTAAAAAAAACAGACTACTTTGCGAATGTAGCCTATTTTGGGTTTTTTTAGAACATAACTCCCACAAACTACAACCACTGTACAGAGTTTTTTTTTTTTTTTTTTTTTTTTTTTTTTAGTTTGGTATTTAATTTTTTTAATCGGCTTACTTTCTTCTGGATTTTGTAGCAATAAAGTACTTAAAATAAATATGTAAATGCAGGAAATTAGATTTTAATCAAAAACTTTTCTCACATTTTGTGTCCCTGCACTTCTCAAACCAAAGTTAAAGTGTTTATGTCTGATTTGAAACTTTTAGCCCAGTACGTCTGTGATAATGTGATCATTTTACACAAAAACATCATAAACATGTGGTTAAAATACCTAAAAAAACTATAACTATAACAAATATATATGTTGTTAAGTGTTTGCTTGGAAATTGCAATCTTAGTTTGTAGCTCTAACAAATGTTTAGATTAAGGGGTAGTGTTAGGTGATAAAATAAAATTGTAATGTAAATACATTTTTTTGACAGTTCATACTGTATTAATAATATTATAATATATACTATACATGTCAAAATTACCTTAGTATATCCAAACGTATCCTTTACTGATGATACATTGCGGTAACACTTTATTCTGATGGTCCATTTGAGTATTAGTAGACTGTCTGCTTAAAATATGCTGACCCCAACCTAATTTACTTATAATTTGAGTTGACATGTAGATGCAATGTAACTTAAATTCAACAAACAAACCATCAAAATAAATTGTGACATACATTGCTGGTGCTGTTTGTGTATTTACTGCACTAAAGGTCTAATTGAAACTAATGGAGTAGTCAGTGTGATAAAAAGTCAAGAGGTCCTGACCAAATGTCAGAATGTGCCTGGGATGTGTTATTTGGACATACCACAGTGCAGTTGCTCGAAGATGAGATGCATTTCTTGTCTTCGCACCATTGACAGTCATTGGTGTTGGCCGTACAGGAAGCACAGTCAGAAAACTGCTGACACTGCTTATCAGCTGCATCTATGATTAAAAACACAAGAATCATCAGAGGCCAGGAAAATACATTCTTATTAGCATAAAACCAGAAGTGAGGTTTGAAGGTAATGAGAGTCTAACTCAAAACTCAGAGCTCTCAAGGTGAAACACTTCATAACTGTGGTGAAAAATGAGTGTGTGCAATGACACACGGGTAAGGGCTAAAGTTGAACAGCGGATGTGGACATGGACAGGGCACAGCGAAATTAAAACTGGAGATTCGAGGCGAACAGCCAAGGACAGAGAAGAAACTTTCGTCCTCGCTGTGAATTTGTTTATTTCCGACATGAATAAGCTTGACACACATGAATACTGTTGTTCCTGTTCTTTTTCTGTTCAGGAGGAGCTTTTCTGTTTGTTGGTTTGTTTTCATCGTTATTTCGGAGAAGGAGAGGTCACAACAGAACTTTTGCCTGGAAGAGTTTCAAAGGATAAACAATGAGAAAATCCAGGACAAAAACCAACAAGGATGGGAGAAAAGAAATGTGAGTAGATTCTTCACACTTTTTATTAAACAACGAAGTGATTTTAACTGAATGGATATTGATTTGACTGAATAAATAAGGAAGAACATTTATGATCTCTGAATTAATGTTATTTTAAAGTTGCAGGTCATGATAATATTTAGGGATGTGTCCAATTATTTAATTAATCAAACGCATCAGCAAAGATCGAGCATGAAAAGGATAATCGATTGGCTCTAAAATTAAATTCCATTTATTTTTTCTGGTTGGTATTTGGGTGGTAGTATGATATTTGATTGGTTAAGGCTGTAAGGAGTTGCGTCTAGAGCAAGCGGCAACCTCACGCTCTCCCTCAGGAAGCCAATACGGAAGTAACTAAAACTGCAATTCATCCGAAATTCCGCTAGTCCTGGCTCCTGGCTCCAAAATAGAGCAAATTTCAATTGAGGCCACTGTTAGAATGGCCAACTTTACAGCAGAAAAAAAGGTGTTTACAGCCTGGTACAAAAAAAGATTTTGGTTAATACAGCTAATATTACCCTTCATGACAACTGTGAGGGGGGTGAATTTTTTTATAACTCATCCGTTTCCTTTATAATAAGTTATATTAAGTTTGCATAAGTAAGGGCGTTGCTACTTGAATGACAGCTAGATCTCGTTGGTCGCCGTCACGTCACTTCAGCTGAATCCTGCAGATTAGCCACTGATCTCGGCATATTTATCGTATTTCTGTGTTGTTTTATGTGGCTTTACACAGTCAACTGCCTTTTGGACTTGTTTCCTACAATTATTAGATGGCATGGCATGCTGAGTGCACTTAATTGTGCTCACAAACCGTTCATGTGGCCTCCGTTTCCCATGTGAGTAAAGTTATATACTTATATACCATCTCTATACATGTATTTGTTTTATTTAAGATCACTTATTGTTTATAATTATATTTAGAGCTGTATTGAACTCCAGAATCTGACGAATTGATTAGCTGTAGGCTGTAGATCAGTCATCTGAAGCGTTGTCATACAGTGTTATGCTGGATTTCATCAATAGTCTTACATTAACTAACACAGACTATATCTGAAGTGTTTGGAAGTAATTCGCGTTTTTGAAAAACCTCATAAGAACAATATTTAGTGGCTCAATGTATTACAGCAGAGTTTTTAAAAGTCTAAACACTTTATTGATATAGTGTACAACCAAGCACAAGTGGTCAGAATACAAACAAGTCACAGGTGATAAAGTATTAAGCGTTCTCTAAAGTAAAGTGTGTCTGAACCAGGTCCAAGCAAAATGTCAGCAGGTGTCTGTAGCTCCGCTCACTCTCCGCCTCTTTGCCCTTGTTTGGTATCCCGCCGTGGGTGTGATGACGCGCGAACAATATGGCGACGGTTGGCCGCGCCTACTTGTGGCTTCTTTTGCGCTCTTTAGAAACCTATGGGTGACGTCACGGATACTACGTCCATATATTTTACAGTCTATGGTCTAGAGGTGAGACCTGAGCACAGATAGAGTATAGGGGTCACACACCAGAAGAGCCGCACTACGGCCCACGCAGCGTCATGCATTTCAGAATTCTAAACGTATTTCTATCAGGATACACAGTGGTGCCCAGCCACGACTCAGGACGCTCTTCATATTTTTGCCGCACCACAGAGCGTTATCTGAATAATTTCATTTTAAATACCATTCGAATGTGTGCGTCTGGTGTTTGATAATTTCAGCTGTCATGTGCGCGCCGTGTCTCGACACTCTTTTCGACGAGGATGCGGTATGAGTGATGTTTCACCTAATGACACCAAAATCGAAAGCTACTTCAGGGAGCCATGCATCTCTCTAAACCTGGATCCTTTATTGTGATGCAAAGTAAAGGAGTCTCGATTTGCAAGGCTAAGCACCCTTGCCCAGTGGTACCTGGCTGTTCCTGCAACTTCTGTGCCTGCTGAGCGCGTTTTTTCCACCACCGGTCTAATTGTAAATAAACTTCGCACTCAGCTTTCATCGGAGACCGACTGATCTTTTTGAATAAAAATATGTTGTCCATATATTAAGTTTCATTAGACATGCAAGGTAAAATGTTCAGGCTGTTTTTGTTTTAAGTTTAAGCAGCCGGCTTTATTTTATTTACCTCCACCGACTGATCATTTTGAAAGAAGTTTTATAGCTGTGGTAAAACATATTCAGGCTATTTTTTTCCAAAATCCAAAATATTAATAGAAATAATAAGACACATATTGAAAGGGATAAAACTGTAAAATTAATTTGGTTTCTTTTTTTTTCTTTTTTTTCTGCAGCGCTTCAGTTGGCGTTGTTTTAAAGCGCCCTGTAATGTGAGAACTGCATCCACTACTTTCTGGTTGGCATGTAGTTATAGTCTATTTTGTGTAGATGAACACAAATTGTAATATAACATTTTCATATTGTGTCTCTAAGCTTTAGGATTAATTCTATTTACAATGCGTCATGTAAATTCTACATGCCTCACGTCAGTGGTGGTTCTAGTTTAAATGGCACCCTGGGCGAACCCCCTGCTTTTAGAAATGTAATTAGAAATAAATAATATATGATATATATTATTCATTCATTCATTTTCTTGTCGGCTTAGTCCCTTTATTAATCTGGGGTCGCCACAGCGGAATGAACCGCCAATTTATCCAGCAAGATTTTATGCAGTGTATGCCCTTCCAGCCACAACCCATCTCTGGGAAACATCCACACACACACATACTTATAAACTACGGACAATTTAGCCTACCCAATTCACCTGTACCGCATGTCTTTGGACTGTGGGTGAAACCGGAGCACCCAGAGGAAACCCACGCGAACGCAGGGAGAACATGCAAACTCCACACAGAAACGTCAACTGAGCCGAGGCTCGAACCAGCAACCTTCTTGCTGTTAGGCAACAGCACTACCTAAAGCGCCACTGCTTCGCCCTGATATATATTATGGTAATGATAATTCTTCTTATTATTAATATCAAACATTATTATACTAAATATACAATCACAGAAATTAATCCTACATGTAGCCTAAGTGGGAAAAAATGTAGAGACACAACTTGAGTGATATGCTAAGATTTCTTAAGAAATCTTTTGCTTGAATATTAAAGACAATTTTATAGAATACAAAAAATATATTTTATGCATGATTTTCAAAGTAGTCGTGTCACAGATGTTTTCACACTGCATGACTATCTGGGCTAGCGTTTTCGTCGTTTACACTGCAAGATGGATCGGCAACAGGGACTTTCACATTGCATGACTTTACTATAGGAAGAATCGCCGACAACTTCGTCCAAACTACGTCTCACAGCCAAAAACACGTAGTATATCTTTTGTTATTAACTACATAATGAGAAAGAAGCCTTTAATGGGGTAGAACATGTTCATATTTGCTCACCTGGGTTTAAAGGGAATTAGCCATTTCTCCTCAACGTTGATTATAATCTAATTTCTTTCTGTATAAAACGTCAAACAGACACGGTTGCTCCTGAGTCTTGTCAAACCTCCACTAGTTTTTCCTCCATTTCATGGGTCCAAATAAACCGAAAAAGAGCGCTTTTAACTTCTCCCCCAGCCTCCCGCTGGCCTGCAGCAGGTATACACACTAGCACACACAAGTGAAAGCTGCTCTCTCATTGGCTGTAGGCGATGGCTGATGCCAAATATCTCACAGGCATCGGCGACTCATCGGCGATTCTCTCAGATCGCGTCTTTGAAAGTTTATACTGTTTAATTGTCACTCACGTGCACGAGCAGCGATTTGCCTGTGATTTCAGGCATTTGTCTGCGATTTCTCAAAACCTCTCGGCGAGCCAAAATCGGGGCTAAAATCATGCAGTCGGAACTAGGCATTAGATCCAACTCATGGCTGAGAATTAATGTTATTAAGTCTTACCTCCCTGATTCATCATCTCTCCTTTCTGCTTCATAGCCATATAGTTTAAATAAGATAATCATATTATAACTTTAGTTTTGTAAACTTGCCAAGCTTGCTGCGTGCCGACACCGCTGCATAAAAGTTACTCCGAGTTCACAGTAAGCAGCGTGTATTTTATCAGCATGCATGTATACAATCGGTATTCACACCGGGAGCAGAACAGTGCGTGAGGCATGGTTTTCTGTGCGCATGCATGTGTCAGTTTGTTTTCACCACTGTTGTTTCAGTTGCACATAGAGAATAACAAACTTGCGCATGCAAAATACGCCAATTGTGAATGGCCTCTAAGGTCTTTATTCAGGGATTACAGCTTTAAATTAATACACTTGCATAAAGTAGATCATATCTCAAAGCTTTTACTGGGGTTAGTTTTTTTCGCACCGTCTCACCATACCACCCCCTAGCAAGATGCTGCCCTGGGCATCGACCATATTGCCCATGCCTAAATATGCCACTGCTCACACTTATTTAAATGTTAACTGTGTTAACCAATGTTGATTTTTTTTTGTAATAACCCAACAGCGTTGATTTAACTGTTTTCTGAATCCTGTCATGGTTTTATCGACACCATTTTTAGCAGGGCTT